AATCTGAAAAAATTGGTATAGACCATCTTATTTACAAAGCAGAAATAGAGACACAGAAGTAGAGAACAAACATATGGATTCCAAGGGGGAAGGGGGGGATGGGATGAATTGGGAGATTGTGATTAACATATAAACACTATTGATACTATGTATAAAATAGATAACTAATGAGAACCTACTGTATAGCTCAAGGAACTCTACTCAGTGCTCTGTGGTGGCCTAAATGAGAAAGAAATCCAGAAAAGGGGATATATGTAGCTGTATAGCTGATTCACTTTGCTGTACAGCATAAACTAACACAATGTTGTAAAGCAACTATACTCCAATTTATAAAATAAAAAATAATAAAATAATATTTTTTAAATGAAGAAGAAATTAAGACTTTCCCAAATAAACAGAAGATAAAGAGTTCATTACCACTAGACCTGCTATACAAGAAATGCTAAAGTAAGTCCTTCAAGTTGTGAAAAGATGGTAGATAGCAACATGAAGCTGTACAAAAATATAAGGTTCTTCAATAAAGGTAAAGGCATGAACAAATATAGTAACCTGTACTATCATAATTTTGGCAGAAAATAACACAAAAAGGACAAAAACATTTAAAAACTATAAATCTATGTGAAACTGCATACTATATATATAAATACATAATTTGTGACATCAATAACAGAGTGTCTGGCAGGGGGAGCTGTAAAGGAGTAGAGTTTTTGTATATCATTGAAGTTAAGTTTTGTTCAGCTTAAAATAAAATGTTATACAGATGAAAAGATGCTCAACATCACTAATTATTAGAAAAATGCAAATCAAAACTACAATGAGGTATTACCTCACGCCAGTCAGAATGGCCATCAGCAAAAAGTCACAAAAACTAAATGCTGGAGAGGGTGTGGAGAAAAGGGAGGGAGCCCTCTTGCCCTGTTGGTGGGAATGTAAATTGATACCTCCACTGTGGGGAATAGAATGGAGTGTCCTTAGAAAACTAAAAATAGAACTACCGTATGACACAGCAATCCCACTATTGGGCTTATACCCTGAGAAAACCATAGTTCAAAAAGACACATGTACCCCAATGTTCATTGCGGCACTATTTACAATAGCCATGACATGGAAACAGCCTAAATGTCCTTCGACAGATGAATGGATAAAGAAGATGTGGCATATTTATACACTGGAATATTAGCCATAAAAAAGAACAAATTGGGTCATTTGTAGAGATGTGGATGGACCTAGAGTCTGTCATACATAGTGGAGTAAGTCAGAAAGAGAAAAACTAATACCAAATATTACCGCATATACGTGGAATCTAGAAAAATGGTACAGAAGAACCTATTTGCAGGGCAGGAATAGAGATACAGGTGTAGAGAACAGATGTGTGGACACAGGGAAGGGGAAGGGGAGGGTGGGATGAATTGGGAGATTAGGTTTGACATAAATACACTACCATGTGTAAAACAGATAGCTAGTGGGAACATGTGGTATAGCACAGGGAGCTCTGCTCAGTGCTCTGTGATGACCTACATGCGTGGGATGGGGGTGGGTGGGAGAGAGGTGCAAGAGGGAGGGGATGTAGGTATACATATAGCTAATTTACTTTGTTGTACAGCAGAAACCAACATAACATTGTAAAGCAATTATACCCCAATAAAAAATAAAAAGCAGATGGAAGATCTTTAAAAAGATAAAATACTATAACTTTAACTATTTTATGTAATGGCAATAGAAAAAATATATAGAATATACACAAGAGGCAATGAGAAGGGAATCAAGCATATTATTACAAAAATATCAATTAAACTTAAAAAAGGAAAGCAGTAAGATAGGGACAAAAAAGCTACAAAACATACAGAAAACAATGAAGAAAGCAATAGTAAGTCCTTCCCTACCAGTAATTACTTTAAATGTAAATGAATTAAACTCCCCAATCAAAAGACATGGATTGATTGAACAGGTTAAAAATAAAATCCAATTATATGCTACCCACAAGAAACTCACTTTAGATTTAAGGACATACATAGGCTGAAAGTGAAAGATGGAAAAAGATATTTCATGGAAATGGTAAACAAAAGAGATCACGAGTGGCCATATTTACATCAGACAAATGGACTTTATGCCCTTTTTTTTTTTTTCTTTTGAGCTACGCGGGCCTCTCACTGTTGTGGCCTCTCCCATTGTGGAGCACAGGCTCCAGACGCGCAGGCTCAGCAGCCATGACTCACAGACCTAGACGCTCCATGCATGTGGGATCTTCCCAGACCGGGGCATGAACCCGTGTCCCCTGCATCAGCAGGCGGACTGTCAACCACTATGCCACCAGGGAAGCCCCAGACAAATGGACTTTAAATTAAAAAACCATTACACAATACAAAAAACTTTAAATTAAAAAACCATTACACAATACAAAGAAAGACATTATATAATGTTAAAAGGACCGATTCACCAAGAAGATATAACAATTATAAATATTTATTCATCAAACCTCAGAGCTCCTAAATATATGAAGCAAACTTTGGCAGAATTGAAGCAAGAAACAGATAGCAACAGAAGAATAGTAGGAGATGTCAGAACTCTACTTTCAATACCGAATAGGACATGCAAAACATCAATAAGGAAGCAGGGGATTTGAATAATACTGTAGAACAAATGAACCTAACAAACATATGCAGAACATTCCATATAACAACGGCAGAACATACATTCTTCTCAAGTGCACACAGAACGTTCTCCAGGTCAAACCACGTGTTAGGCCACAAAACAAGTATTAACAAATTCAAGAAGATTGAAATCATATAAAATATCTTTTCCAAGCACAACAGAATGAAACTAGAAATCAACAGCACAGGGAAAACTGGAAAATCCACAGATTTGTAGAAATTAGACAATACGCACTTAAACAGGAGTCAAAGAAGTCACAAAGGACATTAGAAAATAGCTTGAGACAAATGAAAATGAAAACACAATATATCAAAACTTATGGAATGTGGCAAAAACAGTGCTAAGAGGGACATTTATAGCTGTAAGTGCATACATGTAAAAGGAAGAAAGATCTCAAATCAACAACCTAACGTTACACCTCAAGATTAGAAAAAGAACACACTAAACCCAAAGCAGTCAGGAGGAAGGAAATAATAGAGATTAGAACAGAGATAAATGAAACAGAGAGTAGAAAAACAATGGGGAAAAACCAACAAAACTAAGAGTTGTTTTTTAAAAAGGTAAACAAAATTAACAAACCTTTAGCTAGACTTACCAAAAAAATGAGAGAGAACTCAAATAAATAAAATGAAAGAGGAAATATTACAACTGATACTACAGTTGAATACAAGGGATCAGAAGAGACGGCTCTGAACAGTTAAATGCCAACAATTGGATAAGCTAAAAGAAATAGATAAATTCCTAGAAACACACAACCTACCAAGACTGAGTCATGAAGAAATAGAAAATTTGCACAGACCGATAACAAGTAAGGAGGTTAAATAAGCAATAAAAAACTTCCCAACAAAGAAAAGTCCAGAAACAGATAGCTTCACTGGGAAATTAATACCAATTGTTCTCAAATTTTTCCCAGAAAATTAAAGAATAAGGAACACTTCCTAACTCATTCCATGAGACCAGCATTATCCTGATACCAAAACTTTGGGGCCTTTTTGACCCTGGAGGGACTGTCCCTCCCAGGGTTCGCTGATTCCTAGAGATGTAACGGATTTGCTGGCAAGAATGTCTTTCAAGTGCAGACCAACCCATCCAGAGCCCACACCCAACCACCTTCTTTATACTTGCTTTCCCCAATTCCCCTGCCCTAATTACGCGAGCTATCCAGGGACAGCCCCTGTGCACAGAACCCACTGAAATTATTCAAACTGGCCAATCTTAAGCCTGCTTACCCTGTCTCACCCATCCCTTTCCTCAGAAACCACAATAAAGACTCTACTGTAACTTATATAGTATTTGTACATCAGCTATACTTCAATTAAAAGAATAAAATCATTACATGATTAAAAAAAGACTCTTGCTCACAATTTCCACTCCCTCTGCCTCCTGCCCTACCCTGGTGCTTCTCCCTCTGGTTCCCCATGGTGTGGTGTGCCCCCTCCTCTCAGGAACTATGAGTAATAAACTGTCTTTAAATGGCAGTCATCTCCTGATTTGTTGGCTTCACCATTCCTGAATAATAATAAAACTTAGATTAAAACATGCCCCCAGCCCACTCGCTGAGAATTTGGCTTTCAATAGTGCAGGCCTGTGGCTGCCCTTTGCCCACGAAGCTTGCCTCTTGATGCGGCCATGTTAGTCCATCCCATCTCTACCAGGAGCCAGCAGGTCTGACCCTGGCCAAATGCCACTTGTGCTTGTCTTGGGACCCAGTCACTTGCAGCTCACCTACGCTGTTCTCCTCCCATGCCCAGGCGGTCTGTCTAAGCCGGGGCTGTCGGCTTTACTTCCATGTCCCCACAAGTCCCAGAGCAGAGCCCAGAGCCCAAAACGCTAAAGGGACACAGATGAGCTTTCTTGCAAGGCCGAGCCCCCACAGGTGGGCGCACCTGCTTCCCAGAGCCATCTGCACGGGGCTCCCCTCGCACGCCTGGGCTCCCTTCCTGCCTCTGCCACACACCATGGGAAACCCTAGGGTTTCCCCATTCATAAACTAAGGTGACAAGCATGCTGTCTTCCTCATGGGGGCTCTGCAAGGCAGGCAGCAAGCACTGTCTCCACTAAGTTGGACCCGCCACAGCCACCCTGGGGTGGGGTCCCTGTGCCACCGTGGGGCCATGGAACTAAGGCTTGGGAGTGAGATCATTGTCTGATGTGTCAGGGAGACCCCTGCCTGCGTGGTCCTTCCCCAGAGCCTGCCCATCAACCCATAGCAGGGGCTTCTCTGAGCATGGTGTCTGAGTGTACACCCTGCTACTGGCACCAGGCCTGGGTGATGGCACTGTAAACCTCAAATACCCTCAGAGGAGAGCTCTGCAGCCCCTGACACCTGGGACGGGAAGGTGGCCTACCTTGGCTGGATCCGCATCAGCCCTCAAGGGGCTATTCTCGGGGTCTGGCTCCTCACTGCTGCCCTCGCCCATATCGCTATCGGCCTCCTCCCGTGGGGCCTTGCCACCTGGGGCTGTCTCCAGGTGCAGCCCTTTGATGGTGGGGCCTGGGCCCGCCTCGCTGCCGTCCTCGCAGGAGAAGTGCTCGCCGACCACGCTGCAGGAGGGGCTGTCTATCCCGCTGTCCCGGTTAGGGATCTTAGTGCCGCTGCTGGGCTCACTCACAGAGCCCACGTCCCCCGCAGAGGCCTGGCTGCCAGGGCTCCCGGAGGCAGGGTCACCACAGTGGGCTCCAGGCCCAACAGGGAGCGCTTGGAGCTTCCCTGGGTCTGTGCTTGGATGCTCCAGGGAGGAGGTGCTAGGCCCAGCATCCGGCTCCCCCCGGGTGGCAATGGGGGCTGGGGGCATTGAGGACACCCCTCCTGGCTCCATCCTCAAAGTTGAGTTCTCTGAGCTCTGTGAGGGGCTGGCTGGGGGCTTCCTGTCAGGGAGAAATGAGCATAGTCAATGCCAGCTGGGCCATGGACCAGCCCCCAGGTGGGGCCCTCTGGAGAAAATCAACACGGAGGAGGGGGCCTGGGGCTGAGTGTGAAGTGAACACCCTGGTCAGCCTCAGCTGGGTCCTGACTAGGCAGGCTTTGGGACAATGGCAAATGGAAAGCATTTTATTCTAAAAATAAATTTCTTCATTAAAAAAGAAGAGAGAGAGAGAGGGAAGGAGGGAGGGAGAGAGTGAGAAAGAAAGAGAGAAAGAAAGAAAGAAAGAAAGAAGGAAGGAAGGAAGGAAGGAAGGAAGGAAAGAAGGGAGGAAAGAAGGAAGGAAAGAAAGAAAAAAAAAGAGAGAGTGAAAGAAAAAGGAGAGGGAGGAATGAATTTTGTAGCGTGAAGCTACCTGCCCCTCAATGAATTCAGAATATATGTGTAAAAGAATAGCAATAACCACCATGAGCACAGTGAATCTGGTCTGTACTGTGCTTTGGCGTACGTGGCACTCTATCCTACCATGTAGCTCTGAGGTGAGGCAGGATCCTCATCGAGACCCTCCCTCAGTATCACTGTCGATATTCTGTCTGACAGGTAACCTGTCATTTTCCAGAGGCCTGGAGGCTGAGGAGGCTGGATCTTGGTTCCCAATTCCTCTTCCTGCTAAGCACTGGAGCTACTTCATGCCCTCACATGGTGCCTCTTCTGGAAACCTTCGTGGAGGAAAGGCACCTTCAAGTGTCAGTCTAGGTGCACAGAGAGGCTCAAAGGTGAGACTACACTGGGAGGAGATTAACATTCCCCCAAATCTTCCACTTGAACCCCCAGTGGAGCTGCAGAGGAGGTCAGGGACCAGGAGCGGCAGTCACTTATTCCTGGGCAATAGGTGGGTTACCTGAGGCTGTCAGACTCCGCAAGGACACTGCGGTGGAAGGGTGGGTGCCAGGCTCCCTGCTGGCTGCGTTCCAGGTCCTTTGAGTTGGCCAGCCCAGGCCTTGCACAGGGTTGGGGGGCCGGGGGGATTTGCTGAAAATCTTTTTCTTGCCCAGCAGTTTTGAAGTGGAGCAGTTCAGGAGGTTCTAAAAATAAAAACGTGAAAGGAGAATGAAAACCACCTTCTCCACTGGCACTTGGAGCAGCGTGGGTGACAGACCCAGTACTCAAGGGAGAACATGGAAGGGCATCTTCATGCCACCACCCAGTGCAGGAGACCCCCGGGCAGGTCAGAGAGGTCTGCGGGTGGATGGAGCATGGCTGAGTCCCTGGCCCCAGTGCAGCAGCTTCTAGGCCCTGGCTTAAAACTGGGGCCAGAACTGAGCTTGTCCCCAGTCATGCAGTGACTCAGGGAGAAAGGGTCCCCTTGAGTGTGCAGTGCCCACTGTGTCTGAGGAGAGCTGGCTGGCAACTCCACGTACCCTCCCAGACACAGGCACTCACTCAGCTCTGCTGCCAGTGGCTTCTTCACACATTCCCTTCCTCCCTTGCTAAACAAAATAAAGAACCATCGGTGGAGATGCAGTTTTCCCTCCCTGCAACACACACAACCAAAAAGGTGTCCTGAAGCCTGAGCCTCGGCCACCCATGCAGCAGAAGGGCCTCCAGTCAGAGTGTGCTCAGAAGAGAAGCATGAGCCACCTCTGTGCATGCACGGCCTTGAGGGCTGGCGAGGCCCCAGGAGTCAAGCACCAACTGCAGCCCCCATGATAGTCTCCTGCGCTCTTGCCTTCCAGTGCAGTCAGATTTCTTCTGAGTGGACCTTTTTTTTTTTTTTTTGAAGTACGTGGGCCTCTCACTCTTGCAGCCTCCCCCGTTGCAGAGCACAGGCTCCGGATGCGCAGGCTCAGCGGCCGTGGCTCACGGACCCAGCCGCTCCGCGGCATGTGGGATCCTCCCGGACCGGGGCACAAACCCTGCATCGGCAGGCGGACTCTCAACCACTGCGCCACCAGGGAAGCCCTGGACCTTTCTTTAAGTGACACCAAAACCAGTGCAGGGTGCACATTTAGTATTGGCTACTGCCACATTCTTAAAGAGCTTAATGGGGAGAAATATCAAGATTTCTAAACAGAAAATGCATGCTTTGCTACATTTTTCTCATAGCACAGGTGATAAACTCCAGTTTCCAGAAATCAGACATGACACAGCAGTCAAAATATGCCAGATGGAATGCAGGCCACGCACTCAGCTTTGGTGTGTCCAGTACAGCCATCTGGTGCCAGGTGGAACCTGCTGCAATCACACCTCAGGGATTCCTGCTTCTGGTCAAGATGGAATAATAGAAACTGGAGATACTCTCTCACTGGAAACAACCAAATCATGGATAAAACATACGAAACAACAGTTGAGAGACACCTTACAGCAGGCAGCAAAGCGCGGTGCTCCTGAAAGGTGGGTACAAGTGCAATGATCCTCTCTCACCCCAGCTTCCTGCCCAGAGAAGGGGATCTCAGGTAGAATCCTGAGTAAAGAGACAGAGCTGGGAGTCCAGGAACACGAAGGCAGCTGGAGGTCACAGGATAGAGCACTAGAGAGAGAGCTGCACAGAGAGAGCGCAGAGAGCTGACAAGGGCCCTCGGAGATGGCTCAGTGCATGTGTGAGGAAACTGCAATGCTGGAGAAAGAACTACTTGAGAGGGTCAGAGGGAACATCACCTGGTGTTCACACAGGGCAGGGAATATGCCTATTTCCACCAGCTAGACTGGAAACTCCAAGATCCACAGGGAGTTAGAGAACTTGGAAGGGTCTTGCCTCAGAGTGGGGCATAATTAGCCCCATGGTGAGCTCTGCTCAGGTCCCACCTAACAAATACTGATGAATTTTAACAGGAAAGTCCATCTGTTTACAAACGACTTAACTGCCTCCCTAAAAAATGCCTAAGGACAATTATAAGAGCACAAACATAGTCAGCATCCAGTAAGGTGAGATTTATAGTGTCTGGCATCCAACCAAAAATTACCAGACACGGAGGGCAGGAATACACAACCCATAGTGAGGAGAAAAAGGCAGTGAGTTGAAATTGACCCACATATAATACAGATGTTAGAATTACCAGACAGGACAAGGTCATTAAGGCAGCAGCAGTTACCCGCATTATATTTAAAAGGTCAGTAGAAACATAAGAAATTAAAAAAAGATCCAACTTCCGGAGATGAAAACCACAAAGTGTGTGATCAAGACCCACTGGAAGGGATTGATGGCAGATTAGATACTGTAGAAGAAAAATCAGTGAGTTTAGAGAGACAATAGAAGCTATCTAAAATGAAAGAGTGAGAATGAATTGTGAGATGTGGAAAAACTTTAAGCAGCATAATATCTGTGTAACCAGAATATATATGTGGAGTCTCAAAAAAGGAGTGAGCTTGAAAAATATTTGAGAAAAATAATGACCAAAATTGATACCAATTCTACACAAATCTTTCAACCATTGAGGGGAAAAGAGAATACTTCTGAACAACATGGATGAATCTAGAAATAATCATGCCAAGTGAAAGAAAACAGACAAAAGAAAAGGCACCTACTTTTTTCTCATTTACATAGAATTCTAGGAAATGTACACTAACACGTGGTGCCAGAAAGCAGACAGGGATGTTGCCTGGAAGGAGGGGTAGGTGTGGTGTGGGAGTTACAACGGAACACAGAGAAGCCTTCAAGGGGTGACAACTACGCTCATCATCTTGGCAGCGGTGACACTTTCACAGGTGTATATGTGTATGTTGAAACGTCAAATTGTACATTTTAAACATATGCAGTTAATTGTATGTTGATTATACCCTGTGGAAGGTGATACCTCCGAGCTGTGCAAACTTGGTGAGTTGCTGACACTCACCAAGTGTCATTTTCCTTGTTACAGAAGGGACAATGAATCATGTAGAGGAGGGTGGTGAGGGGTGTGGCAGGCCAAGAGGCTGGGGAGGCTGGCCTGCCTGGATGCCCTTCACAGGGAGGAAGTGTGCCTTTCCTCTGGAGGCCCTTTAGCCATGACCATCTTATCTTCCAAGGGTTTTAGTGCAAGGGCAGCTGAACCATGCTCGGCCAGACTGCGAAGCCCAGGGCTCAGCATAAAGACATCCTCCAGGGAGCAGAGTACGTGGTGGAGGAAGGTCTTGGTTGCAGAGCAATCTTCCTAAAGATCAGACGACCCTCTGATCTGATTTGGGAAGCCACAGGATACAGCCCACAGCCTCGCTTACCTCAGCACTGGTCTCCCTGCTGCCTGTCCAAGGCCAAAATGAGTGCAGGGCAGGCCAGTCCAGTTCCAGCCTCCCCGCCACACTGCTCAGAGGAGTCAGGGGCTAGGGTAGGGCTGGGGGAGAGGAAACACATGTTCAAGGGTGCCCAACAGACACACATAAACACACACATGCCTCCACATGTGTATACACATATGCACATGCACACATACACAAATACATATAAACATATATCCAATTATATATACACACCCACACACCCTCTGTGCCAGGAGATGTGCTGAGTGCTTTTGTACCCTTGCTCAGTCACAATCACCAAGGTGGGTGACATTCCATGTTTCAGACAAGGATGCCAAGGCTGACCCTGGCCATGCTGGCCTGGGGTAATCAGCACCCAGGAGCTGGGTCCCCCAGACATGGTGCTCTGAACCCCCTGGACTGGGCTCCGGGCTCATTCTGACATGCCCAAGGCCAGGGACATGTAATCACGGAGGAGCCAAGGAGCATTTGTCATTTCTGTCTTCCCAGCCACTCAGCTCTCCCTTTAGAAGCCTGAGCTGAGGGAGCCCACCCTAGGTGAGTTGAGCCTGCTGCCGAACTCAGGACCCAGGGCCCCTGACACCCGAGGCTGCCACCACCCAGCATCAAAGGCCCCAAACCTGGGACTGGGGGAGGTGTGGGGACTGGAGAAGTACAGAGAAATTAAATGTGCCCCACTATCCAGTGCGTTGTGGACCGTTAGGTGGCTCCATCCACAG